TGTGAACACGACAATGAAAATTCGTGTTCAAAAAAAGTTCGATGAATTTCATGACTAGCTGAGCGACTATCAGTTTTTCAATATAACTTTTTTTCCATTAGTAGATTTACTGTGAGTCGACGATCTGGTTTGTGTCCCCGGCAGATAAAATTAATTTTCTCATTTTTCTCGTTTGCCACCCAGTTCAAACCGGTTCTAAAGCTTGATCAGCCTTTGGTTGTTGTTGTTTTTTTGTTTTTGTTTTTTGGGGGGGGGGTTTGCCCGGAGATAAATCTGCCGAAGAGAAAAGCCGATTATTTATCTATATAGCAAATTTGAAATGATATTAACAGGAAAACTGAAGGACTCATGGAAAAACCTACCCCAGTACCACTTTGTCTAAGAATTCCACAGAGACTGATCTGGGTGCTAACGAGGACCTCTACGATGAGATACCGGCTACTAATCGCCTGAGCTATGACACAGACTACACTTTCCATAATTGAACATAGGCAACGTATTGTTTCAGAAGTACCAGACTTTGTAAAAATCATAACAGTCCGTGTAATGCTCCGACAAACGTGAAATGGACGAAAATCGTCATGCAGATGAAGTTTTAACATTCAGTCGCTGGCCTTGCCTGTAGTGACTGAAAACTCATCCGGTATCTCTCTGAAGCTAATTAGCTCGCGAGGACATGTGACATTGTGCTTAGAAGCGTCCAAGCTTAGCCGCCATTGTTCTTGTCAATCATATAATGAAGTGGATGGAGTTGGATGGCATCAAATGCATGTTAATATAAAGTTTTAGAGTGGTCCATTTGGTCGCAATTACTGAATTGCTGCCTACAAGCCATCTTCTGCACACTATTTATCCTAATTCACCAGCCGTTCTCAAGTACTTCAACTGGCGTAGCACACTCCTGCACATCTCTCAGTTAACTTAGCAATGACATTGACAAATGAGGCGACATAACCTTGAATTTGCACGCTTAATGAAAATAGTTTTCAGCACTAAATTATCTGTATACGGAACTAGCAATAACTTCAAGAAGTTCAAGATAAAGAAAAATCTTACAATTTTCACAACTTTTCACGCAGATTTAAACGACAACTCACATTATAAACGTGTCAGTAAAAGGGTAACGTACTAATCCTTAAGACAGTTGTCCAAACCATGTTTCTGACAGGTCAAATATAAATGTAAAGTGGGGTACTCAGGAGTGGTTCTTGTTTTCGATAACATCGCTTTACACATGAATTGTAACAATAATAAAAACTTGGCTTTTTAAAGCGCAACTTATCCCACTTTAGTTCAGACGTGATTGGCATACGTGATATTATGTAACATAATGTCACTCCTACATAATTACAGTGACATTCACTCATGTGCTATTGTGCTCGTAACTGAAAATTCGTGTCGTAAGAACTGTCTTGGTGTCACATACGTTTCTTAATACCCACAGACTTCATGACGAATTATTACTCGCTAAGAAATAATGAATTCCCCATACCCCTGAGCACGAAGACATGACTATGTGTAGGTAAACCAGTGGTAGGCGTGACATTTTCAAAACTGTTAGCCGAATCTTGAGTCTGGGTCCAGGGGAGGTTGAACATTTTGGTAGTTGAATGTATACATTGTACAAGACAGCTATGCAAATTTGAGCAAAAAATTAATGAGGTGAATGAATAAAAGATGAAAGAAATGTAAGCTAGAAAACTGGTTGGCAACTACTGAGATTTTATATTGCACCTCGTACTTCAGCTCGATGAGATGATTCTCTCTCTCTAGGGAACATATCTATCACGGAGTCATAGAATTTCGGATTATTTTCCCAGACTTGAAATTCAGTTTTGTACAAAGAATAAGATAATTTGCGTAACCTATTCTTTTATTGTATTGAATTTTACGAGAAAAATAGATGGTTGGTCTTCATATTTAAATTACTATTTTTTCCCTTGGAAGCAAAATCCCTTTAAAAAATTAGTGTGTTAGCAGTCGATATTTTGCTAACATATTATCTCTTAAGGACAGGCAGCCCATTCACCTCGCAAGTCTGCACTGAAACGAGACTCACAATTGCGCCTGCGCGAACAGGAGGCCCACGTTAAGCCAGACGTATGTGGCTAACATCAACTCGCCAGCTGGAGCTGCTAAAGATAAGTTTTACCTTTTTGGTCCTGTGATTGAGTGTATGGGATTCTATTGAAGTACGAGAGTAAAAATTCGTTTAAGTGTTAGCAGGGTTCACACTTATACCATGAACGCTTCGTTCCTGAGACCTGCATAAGTGAGATTTCTTTCATTATTTCCCTTGAAGAAGATTATTATTAATCAGCTCTACGCTCGATGATCACATCTTAATCATCGATAATAATTACACAATACCTGGATGGTGCGATGAAGGCTGTACTGGTGATTTGTAGTTTATTTAACGTCTCTGTCATTAATTTAGAATGATAGGATGATCAATGAATTGTAAAAAAATAGAAGGAGGCGGTCGTGGCCTAATTTAAGAAACAAAACCTGAGTGTAAGTGAAGAGACTTAGTAAAACCACACAAAGATAATTTGTCTCAGGGCCGAGATTTGAAACCGTAGGGAAATTAAAAATGCATACAAAATATTACTCGAAGTATGTGAAGGAAATAGGACGCTTAGGAGACCTAGGTGTGCGTAGAGGATAATATTAAAATGGATTTTAGAGGAACAGGATGTTGTTTGTGAACTGGATTCAGCTAACTTCAAATAGGGTCTACTGGTGGTGTGTTATGATCAGAGAAATGGCTTTTGGGTTGTATAAAAGATGGAAATGTTTTTTAATTAGCTGAGTGACTATCAGCTTCTGAAGAACTTTCTTCTGTTGAGCTAGTTACTTATGAAAATGATGATGACAATATTCTACTACTAACAATAATAATAATTCCAACTGAGGAAATAAAAAAGTCGATATTCAGAAGCATTAACTGCAAAACATTAACATATGCCATTTTCTTGTGTATAAAAATATATTTTAGCATCCAATGGGATTCATTTTAACTTTAAGAATGTTGAACCCTTTCCATTCTGACAATTTCAGGAGAACGGCATTGTTTGTTTGTTTGTTACAGTGTCACGATTAATTGGCTTTATAGGTACCAGCATAAGATTAGATAAAAATGTCAAGAGATGCCATTTTAGGTTTCGTGCCACTGTTAAGTCCCATACAACCGATAAATTGCGCCCTACAGCGAAGAAGAACCCGACGTTGCAGTAATTATGTTTTTATGTAATAAAGATAAATAATTTTTTTATTAAACCGGAAGATTACTTGGTAGTTATTTAAGGAATAAAATTATTTGTAGTTGCGAAGGCTTCTTTTTATTACTACGAAATTATTAACATCCTTGAGATGAATAGCGTTATTGTTTTACGTTGGGAATTCAACCTTCGTCCCAGTATCTAAACATCATCTTATAGCCTAGTTGCCGCAGTACATTGTACCAAATCAAGTAAAATGTATGTTTACAGTGCCGATCTCACACCTAAAACAATTCAATAATCAATATACTGGTAAAATATCGGCAAAATACTATAAAATATCGGTAAATTTAAACTAATTTGCCATGAAATATCCTTAGATTTTATTGTGTCAGTAAAATAATTGTCTGGGGACTGGTTTCATTCCTGGTTGGGGCAGAAACTTTTCTGTTTGCCACCAAGTTCAGTCTGATTCTGCGTAGTACCCAACGTCCCATCGAATGCGTGTCGGGAAATCTTCCCAGAGGATTAATCACAGGAGCTTAAAGCTTACCACTCACTTTACCTACAACCGAGGTGTTCATCTTCCATACTTCTCTGTTGGTTGGTAGGACCTAGGCTATTTGTCAGGGAAAAATATAATTTCTCCTTTACACGACATGTACCAGCTGCTTCTATAATCACTTTGCCAACAGAGTTTTTTTATGGATTTAGTATGATTCTCAGACTAAACATCGATTATTTCCCTAAACAACATTAAATAATTGATCTATGTAAAGGGAAAGTGTAAATTTGATTTAAATAAGCTTTTAAGTTTGTTACCTTTGTGAAATAACACATTGACTTGCATACTCGATCATATTAAAAGACAAATATAGAAGGAAAGAACTCACGTAATTAATATTCAAAATGTTGGTTCCTGCCCCCAGGAAGAAAACACGATATGCGTCTTTAAAATAATTGTCAGACTTTTAACGATAATGAAGAAAATAGTTTATCAATATCCTGAGAACCAAGTAAAACCATAGAAGGAATTTATTAACAATTTATGAACGTTAAAACTGGTGGTATATATGTTACAATTAACTCATAAACAGTTAAGACACACTTATCAAAAATTAAGTTTTTTTAACCTGTAAGTGATGTGCCTTATCGCTTCATAGGCAACTGTAATTGGCTCAGCCTGTATTTAAATGTCAAAAAATTAATTTCTTGACTAAAATGTTACGACAATGCCAACATAATACTGTATAATACTAACGTGTGGGTCTATTGTATAAAATAAATGTCTAAAAAATGTAAAATAACTATTATTAAACTGTTAATGAAGTACACTGACTGCAAGAAATAAAACCTTGTCATAGTTTATATCCGTCTTGTGAAATAACAATGACTTGATAATAGTAAAAATATATTTTGCGTCATAATGTCGTGAATCCCTCACATGTTTTTTTGCTATCAACATCCTGTTGAGAGGACAGACTGTTTATGATAGCCGTAGGACAAACTCTCATGAAATGCAATTATATTATTACATAATTTGAATTATTATGAAATTTTAATGTACGTAATTTATACACAAGGGCAAGGATAATCCCGTCCCCACAAAACACATTCAAAAATAAATGCCTACATTAAAGGTATCCGAAAATCAACTGCCAAATTTTATGTTATGTGACGATAAAACACCGGAAGCTTCCTTCCAGACTGAAAACACACACACACACACACACACACACACACACACATACACACAGGAAAAAGTAAAAAGTGTTCATATTAACATCGATAAGAAATTTTAATAAAGAGTTAATACACTTTCTAATTCTTGAAAACCATCTACACAAGAGTATCTTACAAATTTAAGTAGATTTAATTCGTGATACATTAACAAATATCAATACTTGAATTGTTACTTATATGTACAACCCTTTACTCGAACTTCGTAAATATTTCTGGGCCATATTTTCTGTCAGAAATAATAATACATAATTATAATAACAGTAATTTAATCTGAGCTTCTTGTAGTGACCTCAAGTTTCATGAAAGCCTTATATAAGCCTATACAACCATGTTCCCTTCTCAGCAACATACGTACTTTTATCAAGTACAGACAACTGAAAGTTACGCAATACAATTAACTGATATAAATTACATTTCATATTTCTGAAGTAAATCCATATTTATTTTCCTACCATCGAAATATATGTAGTACAATCGAAATTGGATTGAATTAAAAAAAAGGCGAGGCTTGTTTAATTTCAAATTTTCCAAACAATTTGTTTGTACTACAGAAAACGCGAAAGTGTTAATAGAGATATCGATCTTTTATTTGAATAACTGTACATCTTAACATCTTATTAATATAGATTACATTCACTGATTCACGTATTGTCAAACTGTAGAAACTATAAATTTGTAACAAGGTATTTGTTCGTGCAACCGATTATCGTATTTAATATTCAGAATTTCTATAGCAGAACATGAAACTATAAAATCTGTAGTCAATTTAATAACAAACCAAAACGCTGCTGTTTTGTAGGAAACACGCCGGTATTCGAAAAAGGGAGTTCTGCGTTCTGCTATCAACATATTTCCGCATTTAATTTCACAGCTGTAAGACTAATTCTCGACTTATAGCAATTCACAACATGAAATGGTAAATTAACCTTATTAAATGATTTATTATACTGTTCCTATACTTAGTATTGAAAGTTAATTAATGGTTATATACAAGTAAAATTTGGCACATATTTTCTGTTTACATATATATTTATTTATTTATTTATGTGTATTTCTATCATGAAAATATTTAAGGCGGACAGCGAAATTCGCCATCTCGACACGGCTGTGCCGTACGTCTGTCGTTCCAATTTTATCCCTATAGACACACATAACAAAAGAAACAGACACCAAAGATACCAAGTGAGTCACAAAGCAGATAGCGTAATGTCTTATGGTAATTTGCTTAGTCACTTTACATACCAACAATCGCATTACAGATAAGAAATTATGGAAGCTGTCGAAATCTGGCCTATTTATTGTCAACCCAAAAAGGAAAGTATTTAAAAAACAACACAGAATTTAATGTATGTAATAACCGCATTGTTACACTAACGTTCAGTCTTTAACTACGAAAATTCACTGATGTTTTAAGTTTCTAACGCATCTGCCTAACCTCAAAACTTTGCACACCGTTCAGTTTACTGATATATAAAATCACGCATACAAAAAAAATTGTAAACAGTCTTATTTGTATGTGTGATTTTATATATCTGCCTAACGCTATTTGGAAACATTTAACTACGAAGAATTGGTGAGTAGAAATTGTGGTTCTCACGGTGGCGAGTATGAAGACGGTCGTCTTATCGGGGTTGTAGCGCCGATGACGGGGGTGGCAAGGAACTCTGAAACGTTGGTATACGTGTACCAGACGGCGCTACAACCCAGAAGACAGCCTTCTTAAAGAATTTGTTAAATTACGCGAACAAAACATTAATTTATGCGTATATTTTATTCACTTTTAACCCTTTGAAATACACTCGTAAAATGCGTGAAATTCAAATATCGTATCAGAATAGACGTAGTCCTGAGTAACGAGCAGAGAATTAAAGAATCAGAAAAAAAATGCATCTTCTCGTGATTTAATACTTGGGTGAGTGTATTTCACATTCCGTTCGTTTTTTGTTACAATAATGACCCCGTCGCCGTTGCATTAATAGAGCTGACAAGTTTATACAGATTCATTTCTCTTTGCTGCACGCCTTCTGAAAATCAGATAACCGACAATTACTACCACAACAACAGCTAAAAGAACAGCACCAATGACAATGGGCACTGTTTGGTCTGTGTCTTCCTCGGTGTTCGAGTTGTAGTTACCACTGGTAGTGGAAGTGCCCGCGGCTGTGGTGCTTCCATCGTCGTTTTCCGCCTTCAAAAATTCGTAGAGCGGTTGGAAATATTCCAGTAGGGCAGCGCCATTCATTTCTCGCTCGCCGGTCATTACGAACAGAGCCTCCCTCCAATGGCGGGAACTTCCGGGACTCAACCCATCCCTGAGCGACAGACAAACATTACCATACTTCAGTCCAATGACAGAAAGAAATTCGTTTTGTAGTTTATTAAGTAAAATAAAAATGTGGTGCACAAAATTATATCTAAAAATGTAGACAACGTAAAATTTAAAAGTGTACCTGGATAAAATTTCAAACATCTTTCGCGGTATAAGATTTTGATGGGATATTTGGGAGATCTAGATATGGATGGAGGATAATAAACGTATGAAATAGATTCGTGCAGTCCAGTTTATTGGCAGTGAGCGGGCTGTTACGAACGTTATGGTTTTATAAAAGGTGGAAATTTCGTGATTGGTTGAGTGATGATTATCTTCTCAGGAAGGACTCTACTACATGGTGGTATATCGCCTCACCTCAAGAGTTGTCCGGCTTCCGCCGAGTTGTAGATATCGCACTTATGAAGAGGTTTGTCAGGGTTGTTGGGTTCATACTCTCCGGCAGCGATGCACAATGACTTGTGGAATTGAAACTGCAGGATGTGTGCCACGAAGTATCTGTAATGTTACATTGTTGTTCTAAGGTTATCTGTAAAGCACGTACTCCAACAATGCAAGAAGATGTTGCTCTATTAAAAGATGTTTCACGTGGTTCTGAAACGGCCCTGTGACGTTGCCAGAATTATGAACTGACTTATAAGCGTCCGAAAATAACTTTTTAAAAAAATACAACCATCTTCAAAAATGTAAAGATGCTGTTTACATTCTTCTTTATAAACGAGAACTTAATTAAATGATAAATGCGATGATATCGCAGTTTGAAACGTCTGTTTTAAATTCTTTGAATTTAAAAAACTAATATTTCTTATGCTATTAGGTTTTAAATTTATTATATCAGATTTTTTCGACATAATTAATTAAGAATTTGTGCTAAAGAATAAGAAAGACTGTTACATTTAAGAAGAAAATACGATAATGGCGACGAAAGAGAAACGAATCAAAGAAGGAAGAATGTGATGGGGTAAAAGTATTTTAAATAGAAAAGTCAAAAATTAAATAGGACTAGCATCGGGATAGAGAGGCACAGGAAGAAAAATAAAGAATAAGAACATTGAACGTAAAAAGGGAGAGCAGAGAGTGTGGAGGATGAAAGAAGAGAGAACGCAAAGTACCGCGTACTTACGAGATGTACTGTGAATTTGCTGGTACGTGATACTTTGCACCAGGGTCAAAATATAACTCAGATCTTGGTCCTGGGGCCTTCACCTTCTGGATTGACTCCCTGACAACACACATGAAAGCACAACTTAGCAAAAAACTGCCACTTCGTTATTTATTTGGACAGTCTGATCTAGGGTGCTACGACGGGGTGTGAACATTGCTAGTTCTCGTGAGGGAGTCTCTTGGATAACGTCCACTTTCATGACCGTGAAGGAAGAAGGGTTTAATTCTAATATAATGGCCGATGCCCGTCACGACTGAGTTGAGAATGCAGTTCGTGGGATGTGGAAACAATTGAAACGAAGTTGTGACGATGATAATTCTGGTAGCAATGATGCAAATGGGACTGTGGGGTCTTACGAAATCTGCGTATTAGGCTGGTTTTGTGTTGATGTGGAATTTATATAAATAGACCTAAATTTCGTGTCTTTTGAACTGTATGTGTTTAAAGCCGCACACTAAAATCCATGTCAGTCACTTGTTTGATTACAACAATGTTCAGTGTTTGTTGCGTCGTG